CAATAGCTGATCCAATATTATTTTTACAGGGTTGTGTTATATCTTGTGCTATAGATTCAATCTCTACATTTCTATTTTTCTGGTTATATTGGCTTATTTTATCTAATAACGTTTTACAAAATTCAGTTTCTATTTTTATTTTATCTTTAGATTCTGTAATATCAAGGCACATAGATATTTCATACATATATTTTACGTCGTCCATTTTATCTTCAAAACCAGTACTATTCTTATATGTTGTGCAAATATTTCCAATAGTATCGTGCCTATTATACAGTTTTATAATATCATCGTAAACATTTTTTATTTCGGAAGGTTTAACATAAGACTTAAGTTTTTCATGTATCCAATAATAGAGATAATAACAAGCGGCTTCTTTAGGTAAATTGTGTTGATAACGATTAATGTGATATAAATAAGACAAAGCTATGGGACATGTATTATCACTGAGATGATTATGATCTGTGAAATATTCATTAATTGCATTTTCACATCTACTTTCATCTTTTTTGTCCCAGTTATTTTTATAAACATCTATAGTATCTTGACATATAGAAAATGAACTTATAGATGAGTACTATAAATAAAAAACAAATGTAGCATGTATATATTTATTCACTTGAATATATTCTGTATAATTTTATTTAAAAAAAAAATATAATATTATTTTATCACGTATATATATTATAATTATTCAAATATACAATATTTTCCATCATCGGAATTATAATAATATTCTATATTATGTGAACTATATAAAATAACGAAATAGATATGTATAAATATACAAATACTTCATCATAAAGATAACATATAGTTATATTAAGCTCTGTTTTACAAGTTATACCAAAATTTAGCAAATTCCCATGAGAACAGAGATTGAGTAATTTTTAAACATTGTAAAATATTGTAGCACTCAAATAATATATTTAAAATATTAGCTATTTATCTTAAATAAAAAATTAAAATTCCAATTATATAATATAAGAATAAAATACGATATAGTTTAATAAAGCAAAATGTAGAACATATCATATATACAAGTACATATAATTTTGTTTATATCATAAAAGATTATATTCATAAAAAGCAATGCTAATGTGAATTCATAACTTGTATATATATATGGAATTTATTTACTATTTCTTATATATTGTAGTTTATATAATAGAACATGAAATTTAAAGTAAAAGATATAATTTATATGAAAAAATATTGTTTAATGTTTATTTGTTATTATTATAAATGTTCCTATACATATTTTTCAATGATATTTTTAATGAAAAATTCGATATAATTTTTTATAATGATACATATGATTTTTTATACTGTCTTATTGCATGATATTATTTTAAAGGAAATATGTGTAGATGTTTATATACTAATATATATCAATTAATTATTCCCTTTACAATAACAATATATATATTATGTACATATTATGTATAATGTTGTATGAGTTAGATTATACTTAATATATCGTATAATACGATGTTTTTAATGTTTATGTAATTAAATGATTTGAATGATATATATGAAAAATAAATTAATAAAAAATAATTTATATGTTTTATAAAAGGAGCCATTAATATTATTTTTCAACGTATTATATTTAATATATTTATTTTATATATTTACATACTTTTTAATATTTGTATGAAATTCTTTTATTTGTGTAAACACATATACATTAAGTAAATACATATTATGCGCTTTAATAAGAAGGTAATGTGTTTTAAAGAGGGAATAATAATAGTTATATATAAAATAATATAGTCGTTTTTTAATTATATGTAAATACATACATATGTTCCATTTTTATGTAAAATAGTTTTAGGATTGCGCAAAAAATAATAAAAATATATAAATATAATAATGAGATTAATATTTTTTTATTATTATTTAAATCATTGGTAAATGTACATATATCTTTGTAATTTATATAACGTTCGGTAGCATACTTATATTTTTTTAAAGAAAAACAATTT